GAGTCTGACATTAACTCCAGTTAAGAGTTTAAAATGGGTTCTTCAGTGAAATTTTCTAAAACCTAAAAAGGAAACCATCAATGAGCAGGTGCATCTTGGATTCACCCAGTCATCATTTCAGAACACTACTTTCTTTCTTTCTCTAATAAGCTGTTTGGATGGGTGATAGAGGATGGGTTATCAACTGGTAAATGACACCAAACTTAAGAACAAGTAAATGTGCTATCAGGATCAGGATCCCAAGGAGTACAATTAGCTTCAGTCACTAAGAATTCACATTCTCCTATTTCAGTGGTGGCAACCTATTAGAGACTGAAAACCCAAACTAGAATCCACTTATTTATTGCAAAGTGTCAACACTGCAATTAAACCTGAATACCAAAATTTTAGTTCAGAAAAAACAACTCACACATTATTATCTTTTTGTCTTAAAACACAATAATAGAGCATTCATTGGTACAGTTTTTTATTGAAATATAAGATTTTGCATTTTGCATGCATTTACACAGTTAATGTGATCTTGACTGTTATGTGCACACTAGTAATTTGTCAAACCTTGGCTGGAGCAACTTGGGTCTCTTGCAGATGAGAAGGCTCTGGGGTGTCCACTTAGGTATGTGTGCCACATATTTACCCCCACTGTTCTATTTCATTTTCAGATGAGAAGATAAGGCAATAGAAAACAAGGTCATTAAATAATGGAAGTTACAACTTAGAAAAATAGGAGATGTATCAACATCCAAAACAGAGTACAGGATTAAGCAATAGTTTAAATTCAGTAAAATAATATTCGAAACACATTATTAAGATATTCTAATTTAAAGTTATAAATTCTTTGGGGTTATGGAAGTGTTCTAGAGCTAGACAGTGATGATGTGAATACAACATTGTAACTGTACTATAACTACTAAATTATACATTTTAAAATAAAAATAGTACATCTTGGGGCCAGGGAGATGCATTAGTAGACTAAGTGTTTCCCCGGCAAGCACAAGGGCCTGAGTTCAATCCCCGGTTCCACAAAAAAAAAAAAAAAAAAAAAAAAGGTACATTTTATGTTACTTGAACTTTAAATCAATAACTGTAATCACAAAATATGTATTTTAATATATACAAATTAATCATATGAGACCTTTTGATATCCAAAATATTTAATATTATTAGCAGCTTCATAGTTCTATCAAGTTTTGGGTACAATGCACATATGTGGATTGCTAGCACACATTCTAAAAAGTGAAATACTCTAAGAACTTATTCAGAATATCATTTATTTATTTACTACATACATACTTATTTGGCACTGATTAGCACTGGGACAGGTGCTATGGATACAGAGACAAATACAAAATAATCGCTACCCCCCAAAAAGAAAAAGAAAATGGAAAATAAATGATAATAATCCCCACCTCTGTAAGGCTTCTAGTTAGGGGAGCTTGACATTAAGTGAATATCACTAAAATAAATAATTATAATGAAAGGAATAAAAGAAAAACACAAGGTTAAAGGATGGACCATATAGGTAGGTTTGATTTAGATAAATGTGTCTGTTATAGCTTCTCCAAGGAAATCTCATTTACTCTGAAACTAGAAAGACAAGATATTTAGAGAGATAAAGAGGGAGAATTAGTGTTGCCCCAGATGGAACAGCAGTGTAAATGTCCTGTGGTAGGGAGGAAAAAAAACTGTTAAATCTGAGGAAGTTAGACACCAAAGATAGTTGTGATTAGAAAGTAGCGAGTACCAAGAAAATCATCACAAAATGAGGCTAGAGAAGTAGGACAGGGTCAGTCCACACAGAGCCAGGATGGGCCTCTGTGGGGATTCTCACTTTAGATCTTGGGCACAAAGACAAGCCACTTAAGAATTTGATTAGGGAATTAAGAGGATCAATTTGTGACCTAAAATATGGGCTTCCTCATGGAAAAGGTCCTGAAGAGTAAAATCTCAAATTAGGAGACCACTTTAGGAGGCTCTTTGAATAATGGCTCAATCTAAGGGGTAGAGGAAGCAAGGAAGAGATGTTTTTAAAGTCTGTTTTGGAGATTATCACAGGTGCCACTTCAAAACTCTAATCCACACACATAGGGGAAAATGCTCTCCATGAAAAATAGAGATTACTTGACCAGGATTTCAGACACACTAACATCAACTGGGACCAAACCAAATCCTATAAAAACTTCAAGCTACTTTTAGGAGTTCTTGAGTCTTCTCGTATAATCAGTTCTTCAAATCAAATCATCCCTGAGCCTCTGGCAGAACAATTTCTTACCAGCAAGTTTTTGGAGTGGTATAGAAATCCCCACAGTAAAACAGAAACCTAAAAACTCACTGCAACAAGGGAGCATCTGTGTCCTCACTCTCACCTACCACCAACTACCCTGCACCTCACATAGGTCTTCCTCTGGAACTATTCTGGAAGAGAAGCACCCTGCATCGCACATGCGCTAGTAAGGCATCAGTCACACCACACACACACACACACACACACACACACACACACACACACACACAGAGGTACGTGCAACAGGCACTCCAAATTACTCAGGTGTACGTGTCTCCTTACCCTGCACCCCAGAGACTGAAACAGGGCTTAAGCACTGTCAGGGCTATTCCATAGTTTTCTAGCAGTTAATGAGTTCCCTGAATCGTAATAGGAAAGCAAAAATACATTACACATACATTTAGCTCTTTTCCTCCGTAAATAAAATCATATTCACCCCGTACTTACCTTGGGTCAGATAAACAAACTGTATATAATAGTTACAAACCCAAGACATGAAACCAGGAAGTCCAAGGCAATCTGTCTATTCTAGTCACCCACAATATAAAGGAAACCAAATAATAAAGATGACTATCACCATTTAAAACTGTACATTTTACAGTGTATGCTCTGAAAGCAGCCTGATTCTCTTTGCATTTATATAATGAAAATTTTTGACTTAAAGATTTTTAAAAAGGAAGATATTTTGAACTTCAAAGAATCACTGATTTTTACCACTGCTACCATTTTTAGCTTCTCTGAGGTGGTCATTATTTGCTATAATATATATTCACAGTTACATGACAGCTATCTCAAATGTTCCTGGCCCTCTGATTCACATTAACTCTCAGCTCTTGAAAAAGAGCTTATCCTCTATCCATCCTTCCCTCTCCACCCACTGTACCTTGTACCTATCATGCTATTTGGTGTTCCCAGCATTTAATACAGAGCCTTGCATATGAAAGACCGTCAAATGCCAGCGGAAAAAAATAAATGAATAAATCTCATCCAACCTATGTAGACTTTTTTTTCCTTGCCTTGTCCTAAATGTTAAATGTCCCTCAGTTCAATGACACTTCAGATAATTCTCCATCCCCACTTTCTCCCACCAATTTTTTTTTCCATTTCTGGATAGAAGAAATTTGTGATTGCAGGTGCTACACAGCTAATAAAGTGTTTATACAAACCAATTTTTAAGAATAAGTGAGAATACTGTTTGTTGCTAAGATTTACACATACAGCTTAGCTCAGCATGAGATGCACTGGAAAACATCTACTTCCTAAATCCATGCTCCATAAGAAAATGACATTCAGTACTAATTCACCCATCACTCTTGTTATTAACATTCATATCAGCTATAATCTCTATAAAGGGCCATCTTTATCATGAAAGAAGAAAACATGCCCTTCACAAGGGCAGAGGGTGCCTGAGAGTTAAATTCATCATTCTGGAATAAATTATTTAGTACCCTTAAACCCTGAAAGCTTTCAGCCACCTACTTTGTGGTTTATGTCTCTGCCTTCTGAGTTTACAATTTCCTGACAGTGAGGCAACTATTTAACTCCACAGTGAAAAATCAATACAATTTAAATTTACTGTTGGAACTGACATTCTCCAGTAAACTAAACGATTTATTCTTCTACTAACATGATATAATTTTAAAGGGGCCTTTATAAAGTGTTACTCAGGAACTATTCCAGAATTTAGGATACATTCTTCTTGTCGGGCATAAAGAACAACTGCCCTTTTCTTCCCAAGAAATGAACCGTATTCCTGGAGCCACCTGAGCTCTGTCCACTCAGATACAGCTTTGACCTAACTTGGTTAGGAGCCTAGATTCTGAATAAAAGATTATCCTACAAGTACAGCTGTGGTGGTAACAGGAATGGAACAAACAGAATTTTAAAATGTATTGTTTGGCTAGTTTATGGTCTCAATCAGACATGAATGACGATCACCATTTTCATCCTAAATTACATACCCGGTACAATTAGCAATAGCACGCTTTGGCTGTAATGGCCATCCAGTGCAATCTTACTGGATGAACAGGAACAAGCCACTTTTGTTGAGTAGTAAAAGCTGATGCTGTTTATAACACACCAGCTGATGAATGTATAAGCTGCATCCTTCTCCCCAAAGAACTAAACACACTGGAAAAGATCAGAAAAACAAAACAACAACAACAAAACACCACCATCGGACCTCCAGCAAATATTGACCATGTGTGTGCAAGGTCCCTTATGGCTGCAAGCCCGAGAATGGAGAAAGGTAAGGGCCAGTGGTCAGTCTGGGCCTGGGTTCAGTAAACTTCCAAGTACATTCAGCCCTTTTGTGTCTAACTCTGAAAGGCCCGTCTCCCTCTCAACTGCTCTGAGATGTCAACATCAAAATAAAACAAAAATGTAAAGGGCCTGATGTCAGGCCCGAAGGAAACGCTTATCAGCAGCTTGTTACTCAGTAGACTGCTGAAATTCCCGCTCACCACCACCCCCATCCCACCCTGGGGTTCGCTGCGCACCTCCAAGGGCAGAGGTGTGAGCATCCGCAGCGAACGCGGGGCCTAGCAGCGGCGGAGAAAGCCCAGCCTCCCGCGCGCAGGAGATGCTCAAGCGCAGCCCGCTCCGCCCTCGCCGGCGGTCCAGGCTCCCAGCTCCCAGCGGGGAAGTCGCGACTTCTGCGCATTCAGCATCCTCCCCCTCCTCCGCCTCTCCCTCCTCCGCCCGCGCCGGTGCCACCAACCTTGGGCGTGCGGATGTGCTCCATGGCGGGTCCGCGTCTGCAGGGACCCGGCGGGCGGGCCTCACGCACCTGCGCGCGTGCGGCGCAGCGGGCGGGGCCGGGGAGGGGGCTTCGCGACGGGCGTTGAGCCGAGGGCTTGGCCCCGCCCCCAGGTGCGCCCGCGCGCGCCAGGCCCCGGGAACGCGGGGCGCCTGCGCAGCTCGAGACTCGGCGCGCGCCTCCGCCCACCTGCCGGGCCTGCGGCACCCTCACGGGGCACCTGGCCGGGGGTCACTCAGGCAAGGGCTGCTTGCTGGTTTTCAAGAAAAGCACCCCAAAGCTGTAGGCTGGTATTTCCAGGTGCTCAGGAGGCTGAGGCGGGAGGATCACTTGAGTCTCGATCCCAGGTTCAAGATTTGGGCAACATAGAGAGACCCTGTCAAAATAAATAAATAAAACAAAAGAAGTATAGACATGGGAAGGGGCAGTCAGAGTAATATTGTGAAGCTATGGTCCCCAAAGACAAAGTAAGGCCCTTGTGCTAGGTGTGACCTCTTGAAGGAGGGATAGCGACTGCGCTGCTCCACACCCTCACTGGAGTCCTCGGGGTGGGGGAGTAGGCTCCCCGGAAAGGTGGGATCTCAGGCTGAGAACACAGTTGCTCGTGCCCTGATTGCAGCACGGCCCAGTGGGCTCTGTCTGCAGTTTGGCACAGGCGGGGCTGGCCTGGCATTTAGGATGAGAGTGGAAATAATAGCAACAGTGTTCACACCCTGCTGATGTGTTATTAAATCAGGCATCTCACATCAACCTGTGACTCACTGCTGGAACTGTTGCATTTTAGAGCGGCTTTTCCTTGGCACCATGTTGGGTGCTCATTTGCCATCTTTCGCTCACCCCAAGTGAACTGGAAGCTAAGGGAAGAGCATATCCATGGTAAGGAACTGTTAAGCCAGTGGGAAAAGCCCAAGGGAAGAAATGTCCTCTGCCCCTTTTTTTTCTTGCAACTCTAAGTCTACAATGTTCTGTCATACCTAAAATTTAATTGACGAGAGCATAATTCTTGGAATACTTTTTTTGGTTTTTTCCTGGCTTCTACTTTCACTTCCTCCTGCTTGTTGCTCTGGAATTCACATGTTGAGATTAAAAAGAAAATAATAATAATGAATTTACTCTGAAGTTAAGAAGTCACTGTGATCCAAACTATACAGCATTAAGCCAAAATGAGATGAGAAATAGATTGTATCCTGAGTCATTATTGGAAGAGCTACAGCAGATTGCTGGGAGTGGGAAGAGCAAGGTGTTGCTTGAATCCACTGAGATTTCAAGTTTGTTTCATTATTCCTGCCTTGTCTATCTATACTGACTTTATAAGAAGAGGAATTTGAGAATCAAAATAATGTATTTTCCTTACCATCGTTTCTATTATTTTATTTTATTTTTATTTATTTATTTTTTTGGGGGGTACAGGATCTCACTACAGAGCTCAGACTCATAGTGATCCTCTGTTTTCAGCCTTCCCCGTACTGGGATTACCGGAGTGTACCCCCACGGCCAGATTTGGTTGCCCCGCCTCAGTGCACCCAGGTCCTTGCGCTTGCCTAAGCAGGCATTTAGTCTGCTAAGCTATCTCACTGGCCTGTGTTTCTGATTTTTTAAAAAGGGATTGACAGTGTCTTTAAAAAGCTCTAAAGACACGTGGCATATGCTAGTCCTAAACTGCTTTATGGTACATTATATACATGTTCCAAAGAATGTCTTAAGAAAATTTTATCACATAGATATTCCAGTTGCAAATAATATCGCTAGAGGAACTTTTAAATAAAAATTTAAAGGGCCAGCCAAATAGCTCAATAGATTAAAGCGCCTGCAAGCAGGCTGGAGTTGGGGGGTTCGATCCCTGGGTCTGCCTCGCTGGCCCCGGGGTGCACTAAGAAGACTAGTTGAGACTGGGTGTGGTGAAAATCGCCAGTAATCCCAACACTTGCGAGGCTGTAATCAGGCAGATCACTAGGAGTCCCATCTAGTAGTGAGACCCTGAATACCCTGTAAACCCTTCCCTAAAATAAAAGAAAAAATATGGAGTGTGCGGAGAGTTTCCTGCTACCCTGCGCCGGCGGGACCAGTCCCAGCCCAGGCGCAGCGTGGGCCGGACCCTCTCCCAGCCCCT